ACCTCAAGCTACAACCACAGATCCATCTTGCTTAAATTTTTACTTTATGAAATCATTTGATGCTTCCCAGAAACATTGTTACAAACTACTAAGTTTATTTGGAATGTGATATATAAAGGCCAATGGTAATTAGTACTTTTTTATATCATGGTGTATGAAAAAGATTACCACTTTTGGCAATGTGAGCATATGTTAATCATTCTGCATATCCATTCTGTAGACATGAATCAAAGGCTATCGCAGAGATTGTCGACACAATTTCACGTATGTTGCATCGACTAACTCCACGTGCAAATGAAAACCTGATTGGAATAGAGGCTCGCATGCAAGATTTGAAATCAAAGTTAGACATTGGGTCGGGTGGTGTGCGCATGATTGGAATATGGGGTGTTGGGGGTGGTGGTAAGACAACTCTTGCATCTTCTGTTTATAGTGAAATTTCTAGCAAGTTTGAAGGTTGCTGCCATGTTGAAAATATTCGACAGAAATCAATGAAAAATGGTTTGGAAATTTTGCAAGAAAAAATTCTTTCATGTGTCTTGAAACAAAAGGAAATAGAAGTAAACAGTGTTGAAGAAGGAAGATGCTTAATACATAATAGGCTTCGCTGTAAAAATGTGTTGCTTGTTCTTGATGATGTCGATCACCTTGACCACTTACAAGCATTAGCCGGATCACATAATTGGTTTGGTGAAGGAAGTCGAATAATTATTACAACTCGAGATGTGCATTTATTAAATGCTCAAAAAGTGGATGTGGTACACGAGATTAGGTTGTTAAACAATGATGAAGCTATTGAGCTCTTTTACAAACATGCACCTCCAAATTACAAAGCTATAGAAGATTTTAAACTGTTGTCAAAAGATGTGGTTTCTTATGCTGGTGGGCTTCCGTTAGCACTTAAAGTTCTCGGTTGTTTTTTGTGTGACAAAGACATTAATGAGTGGAGGAGTGCATTAGCAAGGCTGAAAGAGATCCCGGAGATTGATATTGTGGAAAAGCTAAAAATCAGCTATGATGGACTTAAAATGGTTGAGAAAAAGTTGTTCCTTGATATTGCATGTTTCTTCAGAGGGCAGTATAACAATGAAGGGATAATGGCGATGCTTGATGCTTGTGGTTTTCATCCAGTTATAGGCATAAAGGTGTTGGTACAAAAGGCTCTCATAACTATTTCTCCTTATGGAAGGTTTGATATGCATGATTTGGTACAAGAAATGGCATACTACATTGTTAGAGGGAAACACCCTAAGAATCCTGAAAAACATAGTAGAGTTTGGAAGAAGGAAGATGTTCTAAAAATGTGTGCTATGGATGCGACCATGGTAATTGATAATCTAGCTTTGCATATATGTATTTATAAACAAACTCTTTTACATAACTTAACCACCATTTTGTATGTCTATCACAGGAACTTGACATGATTGAAGCAATAAGATTTGAATGCAATAGGTATGATCCAGTAGAACTTTTTCCTCCGCTTGTTGCAAACATGAAAAACCTTCGGTGGATTGATTGGAGAGGTGATCTTGCAAGCCCGTTTCCTACCAACTTTCCACCAAGGGAGCTTTGTTGTCTAAAGTTAGATGGCATCTCACAAAAACAACTTTGGCAGGGTTATAAGGTAAACAAAATGGATGTTTATTCTAAGAATTGAACTTAAACCTTCAATTAAGTATTTTCTTCTCATGGCTCTGTTTTTTTCTTTTTTGTACTTGTATAGAACAGAATCTGCCAAATTTGAAAATCCTTGAACTTTGTGGTTTGGATAAACTAATTATGACACCAGATTTTGATGGACTGCCGAGCCTTGAAAGATTCAAGCTTACTGAATCTTCCAATTTAGAAGAGATTCATCCATCAATTGGACGCTTGGAAAATCTTGTTTTCTTATCTGTAGAAAATTGTGATCGTCTTAAGATGTCTCCACCCATTACCCGAGTAAAGAAACTTGAGACGCTTACCTGTTCATGGTGCCCCAAACTTTTTATGTTTTCGGATATCCATAGTGGCAGAGAGCTTGTATCCTTTAAAAGGAAACCACTAGGGTTGCGATTTCTTCATATAGGCTTAAAAAAGTTGGATCTCAGCTACTGCAATTTGAGGGATGAAGACATTGGTTGTGAAATTTGGGATTTGTCCAACTTGCAAAGACTCAATCTAAGAGGAAATAACCTTTCAAGATTAGATTTTAGTCATCTGCGAATTCCTCGGCTCAAATGGCTCGATATTTCATATTGCGAAGGCCTTGTAGAATTGTCAGAGCTCCCATCAAGTATAGCTATTCTTATAGCGGATCATTGTTCTTCACTCGAAACAATTGGAGATATTTCAAAGTGTAAATGGATATGGAAAGTTTTACTTCGGGGGGAAAACAAACTAGGTTCAAATGGTAGCGAGATATTACTCGACTCGATGCTCCAGGTTTGGCTCTATGTACCTTTTAATTTCAATCTTTATTTTTATGGGAAAATGATATATACGTCCTATGAACTTTTTAAGGTTGACCTTTTTAGTCATTCAAGTTTTTTCACGGCTTTACAAAGAAACGAAATGGATGGAAACCTAGCAATTTAGTCCTTTTTACTTATTAAGGTGGGTTACCGTGCCACTTAATCCATTAAAGATTATGTGGCTGTCCAGTTAAGACCACGTGGCCAACTACTATTTATATGAAAAAAATATATAGCAGCAGATAAAAAGAAAGTATGCATCCTGCTTTTATCCTCGCCTCGAATCGTAGACACCCATCCCCAAATCCATCCATATTTAACTACTGAATTTGTTATCAAAAGACATTATCGATAGTGTCTTGTTCCAAGAACTATCTAACTGTTCATATGGAGTTGCTTCTTTGATTAAGAAATTTATGGAGAAACAACGTGAACTTCAAGCCTACAAGGTAAATTCGTTTTCTGAAGTAGATTCTAAAGAAATCGAAATCCTAATGGAATCATTTATGATGGAATCGAAATCTAAAGAATTATTGCCCTCAAGCAATCAAGCAAGAATATATTTTCAGAAACACATGTGCAAAAAACGCACCGATCTCGTCTGTGAAGAAAATCGATTTCTAAAATCGTTTGTTGAATACGAATCGTTCGAAATCAATTTCTTAAATTGAAACCTACCTGATTTATCGAAATTGAAACCTACCTGATTTATTGAAATCAAAACCTCATCTATGTCAAACATTTCAAAACTTTGATGAACACAAACATTTTGAAACCCACCTCTATAATCAAAACCCTTAAAATCGATTCCGATGAATTGTTGCTTCTGATTTGCAATGAAGAATCGAAACTTGATATTGAGGTAAAATATACCCATTCGATCAATTTCTCATGAACTGTGGTTTCTAATCCACGATTAGGTTGAGAGAGAGAGAGAGAGAGAGGATATTGTAGCTGGCATCAAACATGTTTGTGTACATGGTGCCACCGTTGTTCATCAAAGTCATGTTTCCGTCAATGAACGCGTATTCCACTGGAATATTGGAGTCGATGTAGAGACTTTTGAAGGGGTAGATGTTTACAGTGCATATAGATCCATTTTTCTTAAGGTATTTAGTGAGTTGGATCATGAAATTGTGGATGTCTATTTGTAGAGGAGGAATGATTTTGACTTTTTAAAGTGAATGTTAAAGGGAACCGGACATAATACGTAAAAGGGACTAAACTGCTAGGTTTCCACCAATTTCGTTCCCTCATAAAACCACGAAAAAACTTGAATGACTAAAAGGATCAACCCTAGAAAGTTCATAGGGTATATGTGTCATTTTCCTTATCTTTATTATATAAACAAAAACATAAGAATCATAACTGAACGTGTTTTCCATTGTAGGGAAATGCTATCGAAAATTACTTTATCCATGTGACTCTTGAACATCACATGATTTCAACATGGTTCATGGTTAGGTTCTTTAGGACATCTATACAAACTTCAATACATCTTCCTGATGATTGGTACAATGACTTTTGTGGGTTCTTGATATGCGTCGATACCGACATGAAATATCCTATTGTAAATATAATCATCAAGCACGATCTCAATGCTCAAGCGGGTGAACAACTAATTAATAAAGCCTTAGACAATTCTATCAAGTCTTTTACAGAGGATATAGAGACACTATTATCCATAGGATATGTCTCATTCAGTTCATTGATGCACACCACATTATCGACTACATCATACAATGCAATTTCATTTTCCATACAAAACAAATATTGTAATTTGTTAGAAGCCCGTGTTGTAATTGAGCTCATACCAAGGAAAAGAAAAGGTGACCAGCTGCTAAAAACAAAAGTCACAACAGATCGCTCAGAATTTTGGGATGAGGATGATGATGTTAGAAAGACATTTAGGATCCAACATGATTCAAGCTCCTCTATCAAGATTGTATGGCATCCATACAACTGGTATTGATAAACAATTAAATGAGGAGTGGTAACATTTACTTTTATGAATTTCTTCTAATCATACGTAAATATAACTGGAAATGGAGCCACTTTGGTCTCAACGTTCTAGCGATTTGAGAATAAATTTGTGGTTTTCTATATGTTACGCTATTCCAATTTTATGAACCGTTTCCCCACATTTCTTTGTGCATCTATTTTCTGGTTCTCTTTGTTTCCAGTATTGTTTTGTTAATTTGTTTTCGTTTTGAGGCTTATTTGGCCATAACTTACTTTTCTTACATTTTCAGTGTTATAGTCTATTTTGGTAATTTAGAATTCTTAGGGGTTACTTTTGTATTTATCCATATTTAGTGGTTAATTCTGTAATTTTGTATTTAGCTTGGTTTTAGTCTGTCACACCCGCAAACCAAGGATGGCGGAAATGTCCGGGGGTGGAGGACTTCATGTATAGTATCATAACCACAATTGCAATAGTAATTTAAGCAAACACAAACAACATATATATAATTGAAAAAGTTACATCAGTGCATGAGTTATATGTTTCCAAATCAATTATAATATGTTAACAAAAACATGATATGTTGACGCCTTAACGTCCCATCCTCAAAATGCACTTTGGTACCTGTTTAGTGATTACTTGAGAATACAAGTTGTTTCGAAAAGTGTCAACACAAAGGTTGGTGAGTTCATAAGTTTTTGTTTTCGAACTTGATAAAAGTCTTTCTCTTGTAAATGTCACGTTTGTTTCAGAAAATCCGATATTGTCCTTAAAATCTGTGTAATGTAGTCTTATAACCGAAGATCAAAATTTTTAAGTAACCTCTCTTACTAACAGAAAATGATATGTGTTTAAATCGACATAAACTCGCTTGAATTAAATGAAATTCCCGTAAATTCTTATGTTTGTTAATACTTTCTGTGAGTTTATTATAACCATGCTATGACCTAGTTGGCCTTAAACAACGTTCTTCAAGCATCGGAATTGTTTATGACATTTGTCACCCCAAACCTGCCGGTCTAACTGTTGCATGCAGTTAAGGTGTGGGTTTGTCAAACCCAATATAGATCTATATACAACTATCACGCTCTCCCTCCAGGAGACTCTGGTTACAATACAGGACTTAATGGTAAGTGTGAAGCAAATGTCTCACAAAGTCCTTAACGAATTTATATGTAACGTAATGAAAATCCCTTATCGTATAAATATACAATTCTTGTATGAGTGTGTTATGTAGTGTATCATAAACCATACCTATTATACTTATCAAAAATAAGGGTAGTAATGGTAATGTACGTAATCTATATTCAACGTAGTTCGTTCATTTGTTTGAGTAAAATGGATATACTTTGTTTATAATAATCGTGTTGTCCTTTATATTTCATATGTATATCTATATCGAAATCCATTTATTAATTGTTGCATGTTCATATACCAAGATAAAATATCGCTCTTTTGTAATAACACACATTCACATAAGGATATATACCTTGCTCAACATGATACAGGGTGATAATAATATGTTAGCATTTTTCTGTTTGTAACAGCTTCGATCACTATTATTATAAAATTTATAAAAACTTAATAAAAGATCCAAATCAAAATCCGTAAATTCCAGTACTTTGGTTAACGAGTCTAGTTTGTTCATAAATTTTTCCATAATTTCTAGTGACCTCCTACTTAAGTGAAAACATCCATAAACACAGACTGGTCTGGTTTGGTTCTTGAAATGATAGGCATTTTTGCAAAAATCACCATAAATTTTAGAAAAATCGTATGGAGATGTGCAAGTAGTCATTTTAAAGATAAGAGCTTGAACTACTTGCACCTTGTACAGTTTTGAAAACAAAAATGTTTTACTTGACCAAAACAGTCCATGAATGGAGTCCAACGTTTCTGATGTAAGCTGTTAGAAATATTTAGTTGTGTTCTTGATGATTTGACTTGTATTCTCCCCTTAAAACATAATAAAAAATGAAAATGTATGGGTATTAACTAACCTTATGTGATTTCAGTAGATGATTGTTGAAAAATGGAAGTGATCAACTCAAGAACAATTGAAGATGTCTTGAAGATTTTCGAGAAACTAACATCGAAGTGATGGAGTTTGTGTAAGCAATCAATGATTTGAGTAGAATGAAGTGCAATAATCACAAGGAGGATGAATTATACTTACCAAGGGGAGGATAAAGCTTGAAGATCAGCCTTGGAGTCTTGAAATAGAGAGATAAAGTTTGAGAGAAAAGTTGTGTTGTATCTTTGGTGAAATGAGATAAAATGAAAGAAGTGAGGAGAGAGGATGGGTTGTTCTAGCTCTAAGAACGTGGGAGAGGCAGAAAATTGAGTGTGAAGGACATTGAAGTGACCTAGGTAAGGTGGGGAGGTGTGGCTGGTCATAGAGTGAGTGTGGGGGTGGTTTCTTGTGTCATAAGGTAAAGCAAAGTCAACACTCAACCTCTTTGTACTTTACCCACTAAATTTTATTCTTTAAATAAAGATTTCCATGAAAATATGTTTAAATTATGAATATTTAGTGTCTTTTATATTAAAATATGATTTTTGGAGAAAATCTCGCGTTAAAATCACGAAAAACGGGATCAAAATGTGAAAAATATTAAAAATGGGCCAAAAATGTTAAAATTCTGAAGTCTGGCCGAAGGTTCGGCCTTCTGGTCGTTGGAATCGAAATTAGAAGAGAGGGACCGATAGGAGAGGAGAAGACCGAGAGGAGAACAGAGGAGCGAAAGTAGAAGAAGGAATCGAGAGAAGAAGGGAAGGAAGATCGAGACTCGGTCTCTGTTCTTGGCGGGTTCGGCTCTCGGGTTCGGTTCCAGGTCTCGGTTCTCAGGTTTCGACTACAGGTCTCGGTTTCTGCTGGGGCAGCAAGGCTCGGTCTCGGATGTTGGTCTCGATTCTCAGGTCTCGGCTATAGGTCGTCGTTTCGGTTGCGTAGGGTTTCGATTCTTTGCTGCTTTCGGTCCAAGGAGCTCGACCCTAAGAGGCTTCGGCCCTATAAAGGGTCTTTTGGTTCTTTTAAGGTATTTTACTCGTTTTAACCCTGTTTCAAGCCGTTTTTGACCCGGTTAAGAGTCGGGATGGCCCGAAAGGTTATGAAAAGTTACGGGAACTTTTGAGAGAGATTTGGGAGAGATTTCCAATACTTGGAGAGATTTAGGAGAGATTTGACATTCTTGGAGAGATTTCTCATACAAAGAGATATTTGGGAGAGATTTGACATTCTTGGAGAAATTTCTCATATAGAGAGATATTTGGGAGAGATTTGGCATTCTTGGAGAGATTTCTTATATAGAGTGATATTTGGGAGAGATTTGACAATAGAGAGAGATAGAGTGAAAACGATTGAGAGAGGTTTCATGTGTGACAATTATGAGTGTGTGGCTCCGCAACGCAAGGTCCGTGAACCCCGTTAAGCCATGTTTTAGGATCTTTCACACTTCCGATGACTATGCAACATTGTTTCATCGTTTTTGTTCATTGTTTAGCACTAAGGCTAAGGAAAATTAAACACACGAATTTTTCCAAGAGATGTTTTCTCATTAAAATAGTGAGTTATACAGTATTTACATATAGCACCCTAATATACCAGGTTTAATTGAGTTGACCGGTTTGACTTGATGACTTTGTTCGACTTAGACTTGACCTGAAATTGACTATTGTCACATAGTCTCTTCGTTCTTGAGAGTTTTTGTAACATCCAGATTCCCAGGTATCTCATTTTTAGTATTTTTATTGAAAATTAGAGAGGGACTCGACGAGTAGACGCTTAGACTCGCCGAGTGGGATCGCGCATGTATTGGTCTGACTTGATGGAGGACTTGGCGAGTCCATGCTGTTTAATGAAACCCTAATTTCTCGGGTTTGGGGCCTATTTAAGGACCCTTATAGCCACCATTTGTGGCTACCAGACCATTAAGAGAAACCCTTATAGTGCTTGAGCATTTGTGAGAGAGAAGAAGCCATTATTGGACCTTTGTGGGTTTGTTTTGCAAGAAGAAGTTGATTCCAGCTTACAAGAGGACAAGGAGGTCGCTTATTTGTGGATTTCAAGCAAAGGACATCATCCTTCAGGTAGCATATCGATCCTTTTTTTTGTTTTGTTAAAGAATCCATGGATCTAGGGTTTTCTATACACTTTATTGGGTTGATTTGTTGGGAATATGGTCCCTTATCATGTTTAGACATCCGATCTGGATCCATTGTAGTCCAGAGAACCTATTCCATCTTGCTTTATGAGGAGTTATGGAAGAAATGGACTTAGGGTGTTGTATTTGGGGCTAAAACATCAAGCAGTGTCATTTGGACATTGCATGAGCATCAAGTTCGAACCTTTACGTGATTATTGAGCTTGGGAAGATTAGATTTATGGATTAGAGGAACAGATCTGACCTCAAAAGGTCATTTGAGTGTGAGCATGGAACGAACTCGCCGAGTCCATGAGCGAACTCAACGAGTTGAGTTGAGGTTCCCCCTCGATTCGTGACAGGTGTAACTTGTCGAGTGGAAGAAAGACTCGACGAGCCAAGAGAGTCTGAAAGGATTCAGAGGACCTGCATGGACTCGCCGAGTCACCTTTGTGCACTCGACGAGTCGGGTCAAAGTTGACCGTTGACTTTCGTTGACTTTAGGGTTCTACTCTAGACTGATACAGGAGAGTTCAGGGAAGGGTAGAATGGCCTTCTACCCAGTCTGTAGAGATGATATCATGGGAGAGTATTGATCGGGGATGTTATTTGAATAATAAGAGGAGTCTAGGTTGGGACGTTGAGCATGAGAGTTTATCCTACTTCATTGAGGTGAGTCTTCTCACTATGCCTTACCCGATGGGGTGATTATGTGTGACCGCAAGGTCTTATGTGTGTTATGTAAATGTGATGTATGTTGTATATGTTATTTGTTATGATATGAGTATGATGATATGGACCAGAAGGTCAACAGACTCATGGGATGGAAATCCCCTGAGACATCTGGATCGAAAGATCCCATAGAGG